GAGGGTGCGAATTCCTTCAGAATCAATGCATTGGTGTTTGTGGGTTTGCAACCACTAGAACCTGAACAAACAGAAAACCATTGCAGTCAGGAAAGGCTCATGCTTCAGGATACACTTGACAATGAAGAACGCCAAGGTGCACATAAGTATAAAAATCCCAATGTATATGAAGTTAATTTAATTAGACCAAATTTGGATCCCTGGTGCAGTTAAGTTCTCACCCTTATGAATGAGAGGGTGCAAAGCCTAGATCATAGATTTGAAACCTATGCAACCAGGCAAACTAAGGGGTGCCACAAACTCTTCCGGGCGACAATATGTTTTTGAAGCATTTAATTAACTATAGTTTCACTTGCATTGAAATATTCTTTAACAATTTTCACAACAAATCAGATTTTTCAGGTCTCTTGTAACACAAAAAAAAATAAAAATAAAAAATAAAAAAATAAAATCCAGAGAGAGAGAGAGATGGAAAAAACATTTTTGATAGTTCTTCATGAACTCATCACCAAAACTGATCAACTACTACTACAAATGAAATGCAAAAAGTCATGAATTTTTCTGATTTCAAAGTTACCAAAAGCCAAGCTTTTCTATTTCAGTTATCACCTGCATGTTAGCAGCGGCATGCTTTCCAAGGCAGAAGCCTGTGCCTTGTAGATTGAGACGTTCTTTGACATCACTCTTTTCCTCTCCATGCCTTCTTTCCTTGGGAAACCACCAACCATGACTGCATATTGACTCCAGTGCATGCCTCAACACAGTCAGTTGTGGCAACACACCTGAAACAAAAACATGGTAAGATCGCATAACACACAAAATCCACACAAATCTCAAACATAAAACAACAAAAAACTCGTCTTAAAAATATTCCTTCAATATTTTCAAAGCTAGGAAGAAAGGAATATTACCTTAAGGAGAGGGAATGCAGCATCAATCAACTCCATCTTCACACCATCAGTGCCTCTGTGCAGGTGGGATATCAAGCATGTGAAGAATGACAGGCTGGTCAGGACCAGCATCACTCCCCTGGCAATCATGTGGAAACTAGGGCATATCCGATTGTCCTGTAATCCACAACATTAACAACATGTTAGGTATCAGCATAAAACCACATAGCTAACTCATGAGTTTACACCTAATAACGATATCTTATCCACCCGAATTTATACAAAAAAAAAAAAAAAAAAAAAAAATTAACAGAGCTACTATTACAATTACAATAAACATCCTCCATTAATTCTAATCACGCTGGTCCAGTACTCGTTAGTAAACAGTTTGGTCCCAGCGACATAACAACTTCCCTCATTTAAGTATTAACTAAACAACAATAATTTGATCATCCTAGCAACTGGATCCGATCACAACATAACACGTCAAACTACGAATAACCTCGTCAAAACAGTACGATCCAAGTAAATGACTATTTATCCAAGTCATTCACATCTTACAATATAGTACTATATATCAGTTTTTAACAGTTTTCGGATCATCATAAAAGATAGATCTAAACATTGTTCACTAAAATAGTTAAAAAACTTTACTAGATCTGCGAGAAACAAGTAAAACGTAAAGTGAGAACAAACGGAAGAATGATAGATTACAGTACCAAGCGGCGTCCGGTAACAAGAACGCGAACTGGTTCCTTGGCCATTGTTTCAGATGATCAATGTCAACGAAGCTCCAGCCTCAAGATAGTAAAGTGAGAGTGAGAGGTGTGATTGGTAGGCTGGAGATGCAGCGGAGATATTTATGGGAAGCAAAAGAGGGTGCTACAAACAATGTGTCAAGCAAACGTATCGTTTAAATGGTTGAGAACATTAAATAGAGATCCACGGCGTGGCTCTTAAGTAAGAGGTGGCGCGTGGTAGTGTGCGTAGAGTAAACGCATATGCCATTAAGATGCGTGCATGGGCGTGATGATTGAGTGAAGTGGACGACGTAACGACACACATATGATGGTTCACGCAGGGTCGACCACACATCAAACAAAGAAAGTAGTTACTGGGGACGGATGTGATTAATACCTAACTAATTAGTGTCGTCCATTCGCTGACGCTGTTACCAACAGGTCAAAACAGACCGTTTAATCGTTACTGTTTCGCTTCTTATGATCGTTATCCTTTCATTTGAAGTGTCTTTCGTATTACTATTGTTATAAAAGAAAAAAAAAGGGTATAATATGAATAATAACTTCTATTATCGAGCTCACCTTTATGTACAAACGCCTTTGCTAAAGATTGACTAGAATATAAGATTTATATCAATATCTTTCTTATTGCGGTAAATCTGACTAAATTATAAAACATTAGAAATTATTAATTCTTGATTTTAGCATAACTAAACGCACGTGGTGAAATATAAATTAACCCAGAAGACATACACGAATGGGGGTATGAGAAGGATAAAAGATGGAGGAACACAATATTTAAAGTGGTTCGGATGCTTAACAAGGACTCCTACGTCCATTGATATTGTATATATACTGAGGTCAGTCGTGTCCAGCGAACTGATTTACAAGGATTACAAAGAGAGAAAATATATGCTATTTCAAAGAGAATTAGCTAATCCCAAACGGGAGAGGAACTCTCTATTTATAGTGAGAATTGAGGTAATGATTCTAACTCAGAAGTGGGTCAATTACCGTCCAAATCCTTCCTCGCGCCCCGTTATTCACCTGTGAGTGATTTACTTGATCCTTGCAGGATTATACACGTGGATCACCTCCAGCCTTTCCCCGCCTGACGCACACTTACTGCACTGGCAGGAGCACGTTTTTGTGTTAGCGCGCGACGTGGCTGCATCTGAACGACTACTGGACTTACCTAAGCTCTAACCACTTACGTTGACAGGACTCTGCGTCAACCCTACTTTCCAGGCCTAACAGAAATGTTATTAATTGATTAAAAGTGTTAAAACAATTAAAATATGTGTGCGATAAATCCCTGAGGCACAGATTCCGTCACATGTTAGTCTTTTTAGATTAATTTTATTACAATTTTGTCACTCTAACAATATATAACCATACTTTTTACTTAAACTAAGAATTTGAAACAAAGAACTAATATAAGAATGGTGAGGTAAGATTGACATTAAATTCGAACTATTTTAAAAATCATTTTCCTGTGTAAGTGCTGTTTTCATTTGTGTTTATCATCCATCAATTGATCCAACATAAATCTTTGGGTTTCATACAAACTCCTACGATTCACCTATAATCCTATGTACTTTTTGTTGATGCAAATTGCTACATCAACATAATAATATTATTTGAAATAATAAAAAAATATATGAGATTGAAAGGAAAAAAATGTGTGCATTTTTACTCAAAATAAAATATAATCCAATTGATGAAAATAAATGTCTTAATTGTTATGGACAACTATAATTTACCATTTTATTAGATATAAAAGAATTTAAATCTCTTATTATTTAACTTTATAATAATTAAATGTAGGTTAGTAATTAAATTGTTCGAATACATTATAAAGATGTATGAGGTATTGTTTTGTTTATGTTATAAATAGTTAAAATTCAATATAATTTGAGTTACATCCATTGGCTCCTCTGGTTAATTATACTGCTAGCATGGTTAGTAGCAAATTTATCGGGGTAAGAGAGTGTTTGTAATAAGAGACAGTGAGGGTATAATTTTCCTTCGGATTGCTATGATTTCACCAAGTACACACTTGCACCAGTGGGAATAGATACCGGACACTTGGAAAATTTATTGAGTAGTCTTTAACCTTTTAAACCATGACACGTGTTAAGGAAAAATATTGTAAATCAAGACACATTAATCCATTAATGAAAAAGGAGGAGATTAATATTAAGGATAAACCCCAATGAGTTAGGGGGTGTTAGCCAAGTTTATGAAAATTAACTTCTTATAAGTATTTAAAATTTATGAAGTTACGTATTCAGTTAAAGTGATTGATAAGTAGTTGATATATTTGATATAAGTATATTTTATTATTAAAATAACTAAAAGGGCATTATAGTAAAGTGCTTTATTTGAAATATAAAAATAATGATATAATTTGGAATTTTAAAATTAAATAGGGATAATATAATAATATACTTGATCAAATTAACTTATTAAAAAAAAAAAAAAAAAAGGGGGATAAGCAATAAGCACAATCAATCACACTAGTTAGTGTTATACATGTTACTAGAAAGAGCGGCACGGAGACTAGTTTGAATTGAATAAGTACTGCTGATGGCTAGCTTTTGCCAACTGGTATGAAGACTGGTGGGAATTCAACTACTGGGACTGCTACTACGGATGAATCCTCCAATTCAAAAACACTTCCAGGTAGAAGGAAAGAAACTTCCACTCCAACTTCAACTGTATGGGTTGCTAACCTTATTAGCACCCCAAATGGTCAATCCCCGGCAGAAGCACTTCCAATGGTTAAAAGGGAGCTATCCTAGCCCGCAATCGAAGTCTTGCATTAAGTACTAATGTGGAGGGGTCCAAGCCAGCCAATCCCTCTATTGCCCATTAAGATCCATCCATGATGCATCGAACTCCAAAAAAGTTATAAACAAACATATTAGCTTAATTTTAGAGCTTATAAATTAGTTTGATTGACTTATAAGTTCAGACAAACACCCCATAGTGTGAAGATTAAGGAGGTTTGTTTCCTTAGTTGAGTTTCTGGGTTTAAACCTTGAGGTTATCTATCACAATAACACTATAACTTTCCTAGGCTTTTAGGCTCGTATGGTATTTAATGGACCTTGAAGATTAGTTCAGGTGCGCACAAATTGACCTAGACATTGGTTACCAACAAAAAAAAAAAAAAAAAAAAAATTAAAGGATAATGACAATTCCATTAATACCCAAAATTTTGGGTGCTCTTTGTCATTTTTTGAAACCTGCCAATGAGGGGAACTATCGTGAAACCTCAAGGGGTAAAGAAAATTTTCCCATTTTAGAACCTTCTCGAAATAGATTTTACAAGCAGCGCCTTGCATAGAGCATCTCTGCATTCAAATATAGTTATTGTCACTGATTAATTCTCGAATATTCATATTTTCTCTGTGTTCTACAATCTGATATCTCTGCTTCCGATATGGCTACTGCGTCAGGTACATTCTCTTCCTCTCTTCTTCATCTTCAAAGATTTGACGGGAGGAGTTCAGTTTAAATATGGAGATTAGCAAAGAAGTTTTATGAATTTATGATTGATTAGATATCATAAACACTGGCAATAATTAATATGAATATAGATAACAAGTCATGAAGCTCAATTCTTTGATTTGTTTTTGTACTGTAGTTCTGCTACTTGTTAAATGATGCGATTTGATTTCTCTTGACTAAGTATATTGGAAATACTTTATCATTCTTTTGTTCAATTAGATGTTGAAGGCGTTTTTATCATGTTTAGTTGCTATAAAGAGATGCTATAATTCGTGCAACTGAGTACTTGTCTCTAGATACGTTAATACCAATTTATGTTGGCTTAATTTTAGTTTTGGTAGTGCATGCCACTGAAAATTTCTTGTATTTCGAAATTTGGTATGGGGATTGTAGTGGCGTTCAAATCAAGGGAGGATCATAGGAAGCAGTTGGAATTGGAGGAAGCACGGAAAGCTGGGCTTGCCCCGGCTGAGGTTGATGAGGATGGGAAAGAAATTAACCCACATATTCCTCAGTATATGTCATCTGCCCCTTGGTATCTTAATGCTGACAAACCTGTAAGCATCTCCGTTTCTAGTTACATTTTATTCCCTCTCCCTGACTATAATATCAAGATTGTGATATTAATTGAGAGTTTCATTTTTACCTTCTTAGAGCTTAAAACATCAACGCAAATGGAAATCAGATCCAAACTATACTAAATCCTGGTATGACAGAGGTGCAAAAATATATCAGGCAGATAAGTACAGGAAGGGATCATGTGAAAAGTAAGTGGACCTTGTATTGCTTGGTAGTATTCCACTCCCTACTATTTTCCCTATTATTTATCTTTTATTTGGCATGCTGGCTGGAGTTAGTTGTTGCTGATGAAAACTTTTGTTATCTTTTCAGTTATTTGAAAGATGTTGTGGTGTGTGATTGTCATTGTGAAGATGACATTGCATTGAGGAATTCACGCTGATGTGGATGATTAAAATGTGGCAAAGTGATGTTCATTGAAGGGAAAGAGTGTTTGTAAATGTCTACAATGAAGTGTAACTATTGGTAGATTTCATTTCTATCAATATACTTATTTATGAAGCACACTTTCTGTATGGGAATGGTCTTAAAAGTCTTTAATTAGATGCTAATTAGATGTCTTTAAATAAATAAAATAAAAAATATAAATATAAATAATATAAAAAATGTAAGAGAGAATGATTAAAGTATTGCATGTCAAGGATTGTCTGGATACTAATTGCCTACCTTGACTCTGCCTTCTGAGGAAGGCAGCAGTTATTTAAGTTGAACCTTGTACTATACTCTTTCTTTTTCTACTGTTTGTTAATTCCCATTTAATTAATTTATTTTTGTTAAATCAAGAGTTGACTATTATCATTGAGGTATCTACGTTATCTTGTCGTTCGGTCTTTGCAATAATTCCCATGTCATGTTTCTGTTCACCACACTAGTATCAGATGTATGGCTCAGACAAATTTGTTCCATCTTTTTGGTCTATCTTTGCAACTAAGCATCATGTAATATATCTTGTTCACTGCACTCGTATTGGATGTGAAGCTCATACTAATTTTTTTTCCAACCGATGTTAGGTAATCAGCATAAAAACCACATAGCTAACTCATGATTTACAACTAATAACGATATCAATTCAACGAATTTATACAAAAAAAAAAAAAAAAAAATTAACGAGCTACCTATTACAAATTACAATAACACATCCTCCATTAATTCTAATCACGCTGGTCCAGTACTCTTAGTAAACAGTTGGTCCCAGCGACTAACACTTCCCCTCATTAAGTATAAACTAACAACATAATTTGATCATCCTAGCAACTGGATCCGATCACAACAATAACAACGTCAAACTACGAATACCTCTCAAACAATTACGATCCAAGTAAATGATCATTTATCCAAGTCTTCAATCTTCTACAGTACTAGATATAACAGTTTTTATACAGTTTCGGATCATCATAAAAGATAGATCTAAACATTGTTCAACTAAAATAGTTACAAAACTTTACTAGATCTGCGAGGAAACAAGTAACGTAAGTGAAGAACAAACGGAAGGTGATAGATTACAGTACCAGCGGCTCCGGTAACAAGAACGCGAACTGGTTCCTTGCCTTGTTTCAGATCAGATCAATGTCAACGAAGCTTCAGCCTTCAAGATAGTAAGTGAGAGTGAGAGGTGTGATTGGTAGGTGGGAATGAAGCGAGATTTTATGGGGAAGCAAAGAGAGGTGCTACAAACAATGTGTCAAGCAAACGGTATCGTTTAAATGTTTGAGAACATTAAATTAGAGATCCACGGCGTGGGCTCTTAAGTAAGAGTGCGCGTGGAGTGTGCGTAGAGTAAACGCATATGCCAGTTAAGATGCGTGCATTGGGCGTGATGATGTGAGTGAAGTGGACGACGTACACGACCACATATGATGGTTCCGCAGGGTCAGCCACACACATCAAACAAAGAAAGTATTTACTGGGACGGATGTGAATTAATAATCCTAACTAATTAGTGGTCGTCCATTCAGCTGACGCTGTTACCAACGGTCAAAACAGACCGTTTAATCGTTACGTTTCGACTTCTTATGATCTTATCCTTTCATTTTGAAGTTTGTCTTCGTATTACTATTGTTTAAAGAAAAAAGGGTAATAATATGAATATAAACTTCTATTATCGAGCTCACCTTTTATGTACAAACGCCTTGCTAAAGATTGACTAGAATATAAGATTTATATCAATATCTTTCTTATTCGGTAAATCTGACTAAATTATAACAACATTAGAAATTATTATTCTTGATTTTAGCACTAACTAAACGCACGTGTGAAATACTAATACCCAAAGACATACACAACATGGGGTATGAGAATGGATAAAAGATGAGAACAATATTTAAGTGGTTCGTATGCTTAAACAAGCGACTCCTACTCCCTGATATTGTATTAATATACTGAGGTCAGGTCGTGTCCAGCGAACTGATTTACAAGTGATTACAAAGAGAGAAAATATTAGCTATTTCAAAAGAAATTAGCTAATCCCCAAACGGAGAGGAACTCTCTATTTATAGTGATGAATTGAGGTAATGATTACTAAATCAGGAAGTGGGCAATTACCGTCCAAATCCTTCCTCGCGCCCGTTATTCACCTGCCTGAGTGATTTACTGATCCTTGCAGGGATTAACACGTGGATCACCTCCACCTTTCACCAGCCTACGCACACTTACTGCACTGGCAGGAGCACGCTTTTGGTTAGCCGCGACGTGGCTGCATCTGAACGACTACTGGACTTACCTAAGCTCTAACCCTTACGTTGACAGGACCTGCTCACCCTACTTTTCCAGCATAACAGAAATGTTATTAATTTGATTAAAAGTGTTAAAAACATTAAATAATTGTTGTGCATAAATCCCTGAGGCACAGATTCCCGTCACATGTTAGTCTTTTTAGATTAATTTATTTACATTTTGTCACTCTAACAATATATAAGCATACTTTTTACTTAAACTAAGAATTGAAACAAAGAACTAATATAAGAATGGTGGAGGTAAAGTTGACATTAAACATTCGAACTATTTTAAAAATCATTTCCTTGTGTAAGTCCTTGTTTTCATTTGTGTTTATCATCCATCAATTGATCCAACATCAAATCTTTGGTTTCATACAAACTCCTACATAGATTCACCCTAATCCTATGTACTTTTTTGTTGATGCAAATTGCTACATCAACATATATAATATTTTATTGAAATAAAAAAAATATATATTGAGATTGAAGGATAAAAATGTGTGCATTTTTTTACTCAAATAAAAATATAATCCAATTAGATGAAAATAATAGTCTTATTTGTTATGGACAACTTATAATTTACCATTTATTAGATATAAAGAATTTAAATCCTCTTATTATTTAACTTATAATAATTAAAATAGGTTAAGTAATTAAAATTGTTCGAATACATTTCATAAAGATGTATTGAGGTATTTTTTTTGTTTATGTATATTAAATAATTAAAATCTCATATAATTTTGAGTTACATCCATTGGCTCCTCTGTATTAATTATACTGCTAGCAATTGGTTAGTAGCAAATTTATCGGGTAAGAGAGTGTTTGTAATAAGACAGTAGGGTATATTTTCCTTCGGATTGCTATGATTTCACCAAGTACACACTTGCACCAGTGGGAAGAGATACCGGACACTGGAAAATTTATTGAGTAGTCTTTAAACCTTTTAAACCATGACACGTGTTAAGGAAAAATAGTAAATCAAGACACATTATCCATTAATAAAAAGGAGGAGATTAATATTAAGGATAAACCCCAGCGAGCTAGGGCGGGTGTTAGCCAAGTTTATGAAAATTAACTTCTTATAAGTATTAAAATTTATGAGTTACGTATTCATTAAAGTGATTATAAGTAGTTGATCTATTGATATAAGTATATTTTATTATTAAAATAACTAAAAGGGCATTAAGTAAGTGCTTTATTTTTGAAATATAAAAATATGAATAATTTGGAATTTTAAATTAAATAGGGATAATATAATAATATACTTGATCAAATTAACTTATAAAAAAAAAAAAAAAGGGGGATAAGCAATAAGCACAATCACACCTAGTTAGTGTTATACTGTTACTAAAGAGCGGCACGGAGACTAGTTTGAATTGAATAAGTACTGCTGTTGGCTAGCTTTTGAGTCGAATCATTATTTATGTTAATGATAATATGTAAATACTCATTCATGCATAAGAAAAAGAAGCACCAACCCCGAGGAAACAAGGGATAATAATAATTCACATGCATAAATCACAATGGCCATTATCATCCATTCACGAAAGTAAATAGAATCTCAAATCCAGGACAAGTTACTCAAATTTCAAAATGCCCATATTAAATGACAGACATAACGTCGGGATCCAACGATACAGCTTCTCCATGACTCCACCATTAACACTTCCTCTTCATATTGTCAATAGTGTTTTTTTTTTTTTATTCAAAACTGTAGCTACTTCTACGCAGATAAAAAGGGAGATGGCCCTCTCACTAGCACACTATTAGAGGGAAAAATGCCATCTATGAAAGACATGAGTATGCCAGAGCCTTCTCCTCAGACAGCTCTGCTGCTGTAGCGTCCAACTTCTTCCTTGAGAACGCATCAATTCCAAGTTCTGGTTCAAGCAAAACAAAAACAGTCAATGCATCACTTCAAGACTCAAAAAAATGCCGATTGATTTCCAGTAGATGCAACAGAAATTCGATTTATCATGTTTTTCGGGGTAAAGAAGGGGCAGAAAGAGAATTTCTACAAGCTGCCTAAGAAATCTGAAACAAATCAAATTTCCAACTACACATTCCTATAAATTTACTAGTATCTTGAGTGAATTGGGCTTAAGAAAAATCATTAGCCATATCTGCACCTTGAACAATTGTCCATTCCCCATTGCGGCACTTTACTGGGAAGGAGTAAATGAGCCCAGCTGGTACATTGTATGAACCATCAGAGTACACCCCCATGGAGACCCAAGTGCCCTACAATTCCAGAAAAATAAATTAAAAAAAAGAGAGACCAATTTTATATATATCATAGCAGGAGAAAATGAAAAATTGCCACCTCAGGAGTTCCAAGGACCCAATCACGGATATGGTCACAAGCAGAGCTAGCAGCAGACAAAGCACTTGAGAGCTTTCTGGCTTTGATGATTGCAGCACCACGTTGCTGGACAGTAGTGATGAATTCTCCATTCAACCTTTAATGACAATAAAATTACGATAATGTCCAACAGACTCTCACTTAACAACTCCACAAATCATTTAAATTAAAGAAAAAAATAAAGCAATATTAAACTTATATACCATGCATCATCTTTAACAAGCTCACGGACAGGCTTTTCACCGGATGGTGTCTTCACGGTTGCATGGTTGACATCAGGGTACTGGGATGATGAATGATTTCCCCAGATAATCACATTCTTGACATCAGATACCTGAACATTCAATCTCTCAGAGACTTGACCCAATGCCCTGTTATGATCCAGTCTGGTCAAGCAAGTAATGTTCTTCTCAGGAATAGAGGGTGCGAATTCCTTCAGAATCAATGCATTGGTGTTTGCTGGGTTTGCAACCACTAGAACCTGAACAAACAGAAAACCATTGCAGTCAGGAAAGGCTCATGCTTCAGGAATACACTTGACAATGAAGAACGCCCAAGGTGCCACATAAGTATAAAATCCCAATGTATATGAAGTTAATTTAATTAGACCAAATTTGGATTCCCTGGTGCAGTTAAAGTTCTCACCCTTATGAATGAGAGGGTGCAAAGCCTAGATCAAGATTTGAAACCTATGCAACCAGGCAAAACTAAGGGGTGCCACAAACTCTTCCTGGGGCGACAATATAGTTTTTGAAGCATTTAATATACCTATATGTTTCACTTGCATTGAAAATATTCTTTAACAATTTTCACAACAAATCAGATTTTTCAGGTCTTCTGTAACCACAAAAAAAAATAAAAAATAAAAAATAAAAAAATAAAATCCAGAGAGAGAGAGAGATGGAAAAAAACATTTTTGATAGTTCTTCATGAACACATCACCAAAAACTAATCAACTACTACTACAAATGAAATGCAAAAAGTCAATGAATTTTTCTGATTTCAAAGTTATCCAAAAGCCAAGCTTTTCTATTTCAGGTTATCACCTTGCAGTTAGCAGCGGCATGCTTTTCCAAGGCAGAAGCCTGTGCCTTGTAGATTGAGACGTTCTTTGACATCACATCTTTCCTCTCCATGCCTTCTTTCCTTGGGAAACCACCAACCATGACTGCAATATTGACTCCAGTGCATGCCTCAACAACATCAGTTGTGGCAACAACACCTGAAACAAAAAACATGGTAAGATCTCATAATCACACAACAGATTCCACACAAATCTCAAACATAAAACTAACAAATAACTACGTTCTTAAAAATATTCCTTCAATATTTTCAAAGCTAGGGAAGAAAGGAATATTACCTTTAAGGAGAGGGAATGCAGCATCAATCAACTCCATCTTCACACCATTCAGTGCCTCTGCTGCAGGTGGGATATCAAGCATGTGAAGAATGACAGGCTGGTCAGGACCAAGCATCACTCCCCTGGCAATCATGGGAACTAGGGCATATCCGATTTGTCCTGTAAATCCAACAACATTTAACAATATGTTAGGTAATCAGCAGAAAAACCACATAGCTAACTCATGAGTTTACAACTAATAACGATATCTTAATTCAACGAATTTATTAAAAAAAAAAAATAACAGAGCTACCTATTACAAATTACAATAACACATCCTCCATTAATTCTAATCACAGCTGGTCCAGTACTCTTAGTAAACAGTTGGTCCCAGCGACATAACACTTCCCCTCATTTAAGTATTAAACTAAACAACAATAATTTGATCATCCTAGCAACTGGATCCGATCACAACAATAACAACGTCAAACTACGAATACCTCGTCAAAACAATTACGATCCAAGTAAATGATCATTTATCCAAGTCATTCAATCTTCTACAGTACTAGATATAACAGTTTTTATACAGTTTCGGATCATCATAAAAGATAGATCTAAACATTGTTCAACTAAAATAGTTAAAAAACTTTACTAGATCTGCGAGGAAACAAGTAAAACGTAAAGTGAAGAACAAACGGAAGGACTAATAGATTACAGTACCAGCGGCTCCGGTAACAAGAACGCGAACTGGTTCCTTGGCCATTGTTTCAGATCAGATCAATGTCAACGAAGCTTCAGCCTTCAAGATAGTAAAGTGAGAGTGAGAGGTGTGATTGGTAGGTGGAGAAGCGGAGATATTTATGGGGAAGGAAAAGAGAGGTGCTACAAACAATGTGTCAAGCAAACGGTATCGTTTAAATGGTTTGAGAACATTAAATTAGAGATCCACGGCGTGGGCTCTTAAAGTAAGAGGTGCGCGTGGTAGTGTGCGTAGAGTAAACGCATATGCCATTAAGATGCGTGCATTGGGCGTGATGAGTGAGTGAAGTGGACGACGTAACGACCACATATGATGGTTCACGCAGGGTCAGCCACACACATCAAACAAAAGAAAGTAGTTACTGGGGACGGATGTGAATTAATAATCCTAACTAATTAGTGGTCGTCCATTCAGCTGACGCTGTTACCAACAGGTCAAAACAGACCGTTTAATCGTTACTGTTTCGACTTCTTATGATCTTATCCTTTCATTTTGAAGTTTGTCTTTCGTATTACTATTGTTTAAAAAGAAAAAAAAAGGGTAATAATATGAATAATAAACTTCTATTATCGAGCTCACCTTTTATGTACAAACGCCTTTGCTAAAGATTGACTAAGAATATAAGATTTATATCAATATCTTTCTTATTCGGTAAATCTTGACTAAATTATAACAACATTAGAAATTATTAATTCTTGATTTTAGCACTAACTAAACGCACGTGTGAAATACTAAATTAACCCAGAAGACATACACGAATGGGGGTATGAGAATGGATAAAAGATGGAGAACAATATTTAAAGTGGTTCGGATGCTTAAACAAGCGACTCCTACGTCCATTGATATTGTATTAATATACTGAGGTCAGGTCGTGTCCAGCGAACTGATTTACAAGTGATTACAAAGAGAGAAAATATATATGCTATTTCAAAGAGAAATTAGCTAATCCCACAAACGGGAGAGGAACTCTCTATTTATAGTGATGAATTGAGGTAATGATTACTAAATCAGGAAGTGGGTCAAATTACCGTCCAAATCCTTCCTCGCGCCCCGTTATTCACCTGCCTGAGTGATTTACTTGATCCTTGCAGGGATTATACACGTGGATCACCTCCAGCCTTTCACCAGCCTGACGCACACTTACTGCACTGGCAGGAGCACGCTTTTTGCGTTAGCGCGCGACGTGGCTGCATCTGAACGACTACTGGACTTACCTAAGCTCTAACCACTTACGTTGACAGGACTCTGCGTCAACCCTACTTTTCCAGGCATAACAGAAATGTTATTAATTTGATTAAAAGTGTTAAAAACAATTAAATATATTGTTGTGCGATAAATCCCTGAGGCACAGATTCCCGTCACATGTTAGTCTTTTTAGATTAATTTTATTTACAATTTTGTCACTCTAACAATATATAAACATACTTTTTACTTAAACTAAGAATTTGAAACAAAGAACTAATATAAGAATGGTGGAGGTAAGATTGACATTAAACATTCGAACTATTTTAAAAATCATTTTCCTTGTGTAAGTGCTTGTTTTCATTTGTGTTTATCNGTGAAGAATGACAGGCTGGTCAGGACCAAGCATCACTCCCCTGGCAATCATGGGAACTAGGGCATATCCGATTTGTCCTGTAAATCCAACAACATTTAACAATATGTTAGGTAATCAGCAGAAAAACCACATAGCTAACTCATGAGTTTACAACTAATAACGATATCTTAATTCAACGAATTTATTAAAAAAAAAAAATAACAGAGCTACCTATTACAAATTACAATAACACATCCTCCATTAATTCTAATCACAGCTGGTCCAGTACTCTTAGTAAACAGTTGGTCCCAGCGCCGTAACACTTCCCCTCATTTAAGTATTAAACTAAACAACAATAATTTGATCATCCTAGCAACTGGATCCGATCACAACAATAACAACGTCAAACTACGAATACCTCATCAAAACAATTACGATCCAAGTAAATGATCATTTATCCAAGTCACTCAATCTTCTACAGTACTAGATATAACAGTTTTTATACAGTTTCGGATCATCATAAAAGATAGATCTAAACATTGTTCAACTAAAATAGTTAAAAAACTTTACTAGATCTGCGAGGAAACAAGTAAAACGTAAAGTGAAGAACAAACGGAAGGACTAATAGATTACAGTACCAGCGGCTCCGGTAACAAGAACGCGAACTGGTTCCTTGGCCATTGTTTCAGATCAGATCAATGTCAACGAAGCTTCAGCCTTCAAGATAGTCAAGTGAGAGTGAGAGGTGTGATTGGTAGGTGGAGAAGCGGAGATATTTATGGGGAAGGAAAAGAGAGGTGCTACAAACAATGTGTCAAGCAAACGGTATCGTTTAAATAGTTTGAGAACATTAAATTAGAGATCCACGGCGTGGGGTCTTAAAGTAAGAGGTGCGCGTGGGAGTGTGCGTAGAGTAAACGCATATGCCGTTAAGATGCGTGCATTGGGCGTGATGGGTGAGTGAAGTGGACGACGTAACGACCACACATTATGGTTCACGCAGGGTCAGCCACACACATCAAACAAAAGAAAGTAGTTACTGGGGACGGATGTGAATTAATAATCCTAACTAGTTAGTGGTCGTCCATTCAGCTGACGCTGTTACCAACAGGTCAAAACAGACCGTTTAATCGTTACTGTTTCGACTTCTTATGATCTTATCCTTTCATTTTGAAGTCTGTCTTTCATATTACTATTGTTTAAAAAGGCCAAAAAAAGGTTAATAATATGAATAATAAACTTCTATTATCGAGCTCACCTTTTATGGACAAACGCCTTTACTAAAGATTGACTAAGAATATAAGATTTATATCGATATCTTTCTTATTCGGTAAATCTTGAATAAATTATAACAATATTAAAAATTGTTGATTCTTGATTTTGACATTAACTAAATGCACGTATGAAATACTGAATAAACCCATAAGACACATGCGAATGAGGATATGAGAATGGATAAAAGATAGAGAACAATGTTTAAAATGGTTCGGATGCTTAAACAAGCGACTCCTACGTCCACTGATATTGTATTAATATAATGAGGTCAGGTCGCATCCAGCAAGCTGATTTACAAGTGATTACAAAGAGAGAAAATATATATGCTATTTCAAAGAGAAATTAGCTAATCCCACAAACAGGAAATGAGCTCTCTATTTATAGTGATGAATTGAGGTAATAATTATTAAATCAGGGAATGGGTCAAATTCCCGTCCAAATCCTTCCTTGCGCCCTGTTATTCACCTGCCCGAGTAATTTACTCGATCCTTGCAGGGATTGGACACGTGGATCACCTCCAATCTTTCACCAGCATGACGCATACCTACTGCACTGGCAGGAGCATGCCTTTTGTGTTAGCACGCGACGTGGCTGCATCTGAACGACTGCTGGACTTACCTAAGCTCTAACCATTTACGTTGACAGGGTTCTGCATCAGCCTTACTTTTCCAGGCATAACAGAAATGTTATTAATTTGATTAAAAGTGTTAAAAACAATTAAAAATATTGTTGTGCAGTAAATCTCTGAGGCACAGATTCCCGTCACATGTTAGTCTTTTTAGATTAATTTTATTTACAATTTTGTCACTGTAACAACATATAAACATACTTTTTACTTAAACTAAGAATTTGAAACAAAGAACTAATACAAGAATGGTGGAGGTAAGATTGACATTAAACATTCGAACTATTTTAAAAATCGTTTTCCTTGTGTAAGTGCTTGTTTTCATTTGTGTTTATCATCCATCAATTGATCCAACATCAAATCTTTGAGTTTCATACAAACTCCTACATAGATTCACCCTAAATCCTATGTACTTCTTGTTGATGCAAATTGCTACATCAACATATATAATATTTTATTGAAATAAATAAAAATATATATTGAGATTGAAAGGATAAAAATGTGTGTACTTTTTACTCAAAATAAAAATATAATCCAATTAGATGAAAATAAATAGTCTTAATTGTTATGGACAACTTATAATTTACCATTTTATTAGAATATAAAAGAATTTAAATCCTCTTATTATTTAACTTTATAATAATTAATAATGTAGGTTAAGTAATTAAAATTGTTCGAATACATTTCATAAAGATGTATTGAGGTATTGTTTTTGTTTATGTATATTAAATAAGTTAAAATTCAATATAATTTTGAGTTACATCCATTGGCTCCTCTGGATTAATTATACTGCTAGCAATTGGTTAGTAGCAATTTATCGGGTAAGAGAGTGTTTGTAATAAGAGACAGTGAGGGTATAATTTTCCTTCGGATTGCTATGATTTCACCAAGTACACACTTGCACCAGTGGGAATAGATACCGGACACTTGGAAAATTTATTGAGTAGTCTTTAACCTTTTAAACCATGACACGTGTTAAGGAAAAATATTGTAAATCAAGACACATTAATCCATTAATGAAAAAGGAGGAGATTAATATTAAGGATAAACCCCAGCGAGCTAGGCGGGTGTTAGCCAAGTTTATGAAAATTAACTTCTTATAAGTATTTAAAATTTATGAAGTTACGTATTCAGTTAAAGTGATTGATAAGTAGTTGATATATTTGATATAAGTATATTTTATTATTAAAATAACTAAAAGGGCATTATAGTAAAGTGCTTTATTTGAAATATAAAAATAATGATATAATTTGGAATTTTAAAATTAAATAGGGATAATATAATAATATACTTGATCAAATTAACTTATTAAAAAAAAAAAAACAAAAGTACCTTCCCCCCAATTTTTTGTTTGGCTTATAAGTCCAAAAGTTATAAACAACATATTAACTTAATTTTAGAGATTTATAAGCTCAGACAAACACCTCTTAGTATGACGATTAAGGAGGTTTGTTCCTTAGTTGAGTTTCTGGGTTTAAACCTTAGGTCTCTATCACAATAACTATACTTTCCTAGGTTTTGGGCTCGTATGGTATTAATGACCTTGAATATTGTTCAGGTCGCACAAATTGACTTAGACATGGTTACCAACAAAAAAAAAAAAAATTAAGGATAATGACAATTCCTAATACCCAAAATTTTGGGTGCTATTTGCCTTTGTCATTTTTTGAAACCTGCCAATGAGGGGACTATCGTGAAATCTCAAGGGTAAAGTGAAATTTTCCCTTTTTAGAACCTTCTGGAAATAGTTTTTACAAGCAGCTCCTTGCATAGAGCATCTCTGCATTCAATATTGTCACTGATTAATTCTCGAATATTCATATTTTCTCTGTGTTCTACAATCTGATATCTCTGCTTCCGATATGGCTACTGCGTCAGGTACATTCTCTTCCTCTCTTCTTCATCTTCAAAGATTTGACGGGAGGAGTTCAGTTTAAATATGAGATTAGCAAAGAAGTTTTATGAATTTATGATTGATTGGATATCAATAACACTGGCAATAATTAATATGAATATAGATAACAGTCATGAAGCTCATTCTTTGATTTGTTTTGTGACTGTAGTTCTGCTACTTGTTAAATGATGCGATTTTGATTCCTTGACTAAGTATATTGGAAATACTTTACATTCTTTTGTTCATTGATGTTGAAGGCGTTTTTATCATGTTTAGTCTGCTATAAAGAGATGCTATAATTCGTGCAACTGAGTACTTGTTCTAGATACGTTAATACCAATTTATGTTGGCTTAATTTTAGTTTTGGTAGTGCATCCACTGAAAATTTCTTGTATTTCGAAATTTGGTATGGGGATTTAGTGCGTTCAAATCAAGGGAGATCATAGGAGCAGTTGGAATTGGAGGAAGCACGGAAAGCTGGGCTTGCCCGGCTGAGGTTGATGAGGATGGGAGAAATTAACCCACATATTCCTCAGTATTGTCATCTGCCCCTTGGTATCTTAATGCTGACAAACCTGTAAGCATCTCCGTTTCGTTACATTTTATTCCCTCTCCCTGACTATAATATCAAGATTGTGTATTAATTGAGAGTTTCATTTTTACCTTCTTAGAGCTTAAACATCAACGCAAATGGAAATCAGATCCAAATAACTAATCCGGTATGACAGAGTTGCAAAAATATATCAGCAGCAGTAAGTACAGGAAGGGATCATGTGAAAAGTAAGTGGACTGTATTGCTTGGTAGTATTCCACTCCCTACTATTTTCCCTATTATTTATCTTTTATTGGCATGCTGCTGGAGTTAGTTGTTGCTGATGAAAACTTTTTTTTATCTTTCAGTTATTTGAAAGATGTTGTGTGTGATTGTCATTGTAAGATGACATTGCATTGAGAATTCCCGCTGATGTGGATGATTAAGATGTGGCAAAGTGATGTCATTGAAGGGAAAGAGTGTTTGTAAATGTCTACAATGAAGTGTAACATTGGTAGATTTCATTTCATCATATACTTATTTATGAAGCACACTTTCTGTATGGGAATGGTCTTAAAGTCTTTAATTAGATGCTAATTGATGTCTTTAAATAATAAATAAAAAATATAAATTAATAATATAAAAATGTAAGAGAGAATGATTAAAGTATTGCATGTCAAGGAGTGTCTGGATACAATTGCCACCTGACTCTGCCTTCTGAGGAAGGCAGCAGTTATTTAATTTGAACCTTGTACTATACCTTTCTTTTCTACTGTTTGTTAATTCCCATTTAATTAATTTTTTTTTGTTAATCAAGAGTTGACTATTATCATTGAGGTATCTACGTTATCTTGTCGTCGTTTGCAATAATTCCCATGTCATGTTTCTGTTCACCACACTAGTATCAGATGTATGGCTCAGACAAATTTGTTCCATCTTTTTGGTCTATCTTTGCAACTAAGCATCATAATAATATCTGTTCCTGCACTCGTATTGGATGTGAAGCTCATACTAATTTTTTTCCATTGCATAGATGATGAAGCTGCCAAGTTGACTTCACCTATTTTCTTTGTTTTTTTTTGGGGGGGGGGGGGGGGGGGGGGGGGGGGGGGGGGGGGGGGGGGGGTGGGGGGGGGGGGGGGGGGGGGGGGGGGGGGGGGGGGGGGGGGGGGGGGGGGTTGTGGTGGGGGGTGTTTTGGCTGAATATTTATTATTTTTTATGATCTTGACCTTAAAGAGCTCACTCAGATTTTTTGCTAGAGGTTTGTGAATTTCTCTTCAAATTTGTATAACCTCATTTCACACTTGTTTCTCCTTCTTTGGAAAAATAAGAAAGGCCTTAAGAGAAGAGAAGCAATCTCTGATGCTTATGTTTCTCTTAACTTCTTCTGTTATTCATCCAAACAAGGAAAACCCGTACTCCTTATTAACTTTCCCTTTCTTCATTCTTACAGTAGCTTACAACTTAACTCACAGCAACATGATTCAGTACAACATCTGCCGATCAATAGCTAAAAGAGTTTTTCTCAATCCAATGCAACTGTATTTCCCCAGTTCAATCCCATATTAGAATGATCATGTTGTTTTACACTTTTCTACATTGTTCATAACTGCTGTAAAGTTATGTTTCATATATGACCTAATCTTTTCCAGTTGCTTGTTATAGCTGTGGGGCAATGACACATGATGCTAAGTCGTGCATGGAGAGGCCCCGCAAAATAGGAGCAAAATGGACAAACATGCGCATTGCTCCTGATGAAAAGATAGAGACTTTTGAACTGGATTATGATGGCAAACGAGACCGATGGAATGGTTTTGATCCAGCAACATATGCCCATGTCATTGAGAGATATGAGGCAAGGGATGAGGCTAGGAGGAAATACCTGAAAGAAAAACAATTGAAAAAATTGGAGGAGAAAAATGGTAAGCAAACTGGAGAGGGCGAGGTAAGTGATGAAGAGGATGATGAAGATGCTTTGAAGGTTGATGAAGCTAAGGTTGACGAAAGCAAACAGATGGATTTTGCGAAAGTTGAGAAGCGTGTCCGAACCACCGGTGGTGGAAGCACGGGAACTGTTAGGTTTGAATCTGACTATTTATGTTTCCCTTTGATTGTTTGTCTATGTTGAGAATCAAATTTTCTTTATTGTCATCTGCAATATGATGCTTAATATATTTAAGACAATTTTCTATGCAGAAATTTGCGTATTCGTGAGGACACAGCAAAATATCTTCTGAATCTTGATGTGAATTCTGCTTATTATGATCCTAAAACTAGATCTATGCGTGAAGATCCTCTTCCTGATGCTGACCCGAATGAGAAGTTTTATGGAGTGAGTTTCTTGGGAAATTGTTGACTTCATTTTAAATGTTTCGTGTCTGAAGTTTAGTTGTTGTATACTGTTATATGACTTGTTGACTTCTTTCTTTTACAGGGAGATAACCAATATAGAATGAGTGGGCAAGCGTTGGAGTTCAAGCAACTCAATATTCATGCTTGGGAAGCCTTTGAAAAAGGCCAAGAAATCCACATGCAGGCTGCTCCATCTCAAGCTGAATTACTGTACAAGAGCTATAAGATCCTCAAGGAGAAGTTGAAGGCTCATTCTAGAGAAACCATAATGGAGAAGTATGGAAATGCTGCAACTGAAGAAGAAATGCCAAGGGAGCTTCTCCTTGGACAAAGTGAGAGGCAGGTTGAATATGATCGTGCTGGAAGGATCATACAAGGCCTGGTATTGTCTAAACTCTAAAGCAGAAATTATGCTTAATATTACCCAGTTTTTTTTTTCCCTGAAGCATGACTTCTGTTTGTGAAACTCTTGTTTATGAATAACATTAACTCCATGAAGCCTTGAACTCTGAGTAATGAAATTAGGTGCCTGAATCATTTTTAACGGTTCAGTTCCATCTAGAGAGAATCATTATCATTTGTGTTGGTAATCAGTTTTGAATAACAAGAGTACTGTAGATTATCTCCTTTTGGTCTCAATTAATAGTTTGTAATTTTTCAAACATGAATGCAGTGATGGGTCTAATGTAATGTTAAGAACATATCTAGGAATTGCAATGATGTTCAGAAACTACAATCTGTTGAATGTCCTAGTTTATTAGGTGGAGTTCTACATCCACCTTTTTAGACTATTATGAATATGCGCAAACACTAAAATATGTTTTTGGGGGTTTTGCAAACATTATTGAAGTCTGCCTTTTATCTTCCAAGGTAATAGAAAAAGATTTATATTGTTATATTTTTAATCATATTTTGATTGAATGAGCTTTTAATTTCGTATTTAAATTTTATAACCTTTTTGTTGTTTTATTAGATGCAGATGGCTTTTGTTATTGTAATCTTATGTCTTCTTGTTTGCCAGATTGCAGCCAACTAGATGAATTCAGATAATTGATGTTCTTTCTCACCTTTAACTCCATATAGTAGTTAATATAAGTGCTTTTTTTCTGGTTTTTAGCAATTTTAGTTTTTAATGCATGCAAATATTCTTTAGCTCATCTTTTTTCCCTTTCCCTTGTTTTTTTAAAGGAGGCATCTCTTCCAAAAAGCAAGTACGAGGAAGATGTCTACATCAATAACCACACGAGTGTCTGGGGATCATGGTGGAAGGATCATCAGTGGGGCTACAAGTGCTGTCAACAAACCATTAAAAATAGTTACTGCACTGGAGCAGCTGGAATTGAGGCTGCTGAAGCGGCAGCAGATTTAATGAAGGCAAATGTTGCCCGTAAAGCAGCCTCTGAAGGTAGGTTTTATCTCAACAATGTTCATGCTTGTTCTGTTTGATTTCACCAATTCACTTCATTAGATTAGGAGTTAGATGATTGTGCTAGTTTCTTATTTCTATTGGTTGTTAATTTTAAGATTATTTTTGGTTGTGTTGATGTTTAATTATCATAAAAAGTTTATTTCTACTCTCTTTTGATATAAACCTCCAATAATTTCAATAATTTTAATTGGTTTAAATATTCCTTATGTTTTGATTTTCAAGTGCTTGTCTCTCCGTTCTTACTTCTTACTGAATTGCCTACATGAGTGCAGACATGCCTGCCCCAGCAGAGGAGAAAAACCTTGCTACTTGGGGTACTGATATACCTGATGACCTGATTCTTGACCAGAAAAAACTTGCTGAGGCACTTAAGAAGGTGAGTTTGGGACCTGATTATTCAACTTTCTGGTTTTATTAAATTATATGAAAAAAGGAAAAAAATAAAAATAAAAAAGTCTGTTGACTGGATTAGACTCTAGTGGATTTTCTGTTAACATTGCGTTCTATTGAAGAGATAATAGTGTATACTCAATTGCATTTTTGTCATATGATTTGACAGGAGGATGAAAGGAAGAAGGAAGAGAAAGATGAAAGAAAACGAAAATATAATGTTAGATGGAATGATGAGGTATGATCAAACAATAAACTATCTTCTTTTAATATAGCCGTGCCTGTGAATTTTGACTATGTGGATTTATTTCCATGTACTTATGTTAAAAAATAATCTAATGCTGTTTATAGGTTACTGCTGAGGACATGGAGGTATATCGAATGAAGAAGATACATCATGATGATCCTATGAAGGATTTTCTGCACTGATTTTCACCATATTCTTTGATGATCATGTGAAGGGGATTTTCTGCATTAATGTTGACCATATTCTTTCAGCCAGAAGAGCTGCATTCTGGAAAATACTTAATTAGTGGTGTTGTCAATCAAAGTTGAGAACCTCACTTAGAAGCCAGAACTTGAAATGTTTAATTAAGCATTGTTGTGAATATCATGGCATTGTCGTGAACAGAAGTTGCATCAGGAGCTTGCTTAGAGCTGCTGTTTGTTAATGAATCACTGGATCTTTCCTTCATATATCATGTAGACTATTGGACTAGAAGTTGCAACTGAAAATAATTAGTCAATTTTTGTCTTGAAGAAGCCCGAGAAGGTACTCAAATCTCCATTGTCCAAAGATGGTTTTTGTTCCATCAAATTTTTTTTTATTCATGACAGGGGGTGTCGCTTAATTAACACCCAGAGACCTTGGAACTCAGGCACATAGCCACATAGTGATTTGTGGGTTCAATTGAATCCATTGAATTTTTCAAAAATTAAAAAAAAAAAAATTAATAATTTATGGATTTAACAATTTTAACTTTACCTAACTTCATGTTAGCCTCACAAAATAAATTATTAATTAATACTTTTTAAACATTTCTCTTTTCCTTATTTCCTCTCTTTTGCTCTCATATTATATTTTTTCTTTGGTTGGATATTCAAGAAAAGTTATTCATTTGGATTACAAGGTAAGATGATACTAATTTTATTTTTATTTTTTTACTTAAAATTAATTTTTTTCTTTTACCTTTCTTAATTGATGGAAGATTATGAGTTATGAGTTTTTATTGAGTGTAATAAATGAGTTTGAAATAATTTCTAGATTTTGATATGAGTTTTGATTTAATTTTATTTATGTTAAGGTATGAGTTAATTAATTGTTCTTTTAAGTTGTGTTTGATAAATTGTGGTTAGTTATTGAGTTAATTTTGAATATGGTTTAAGGAATTGATGAAACCTTAAGTTGTGGAGATTTGAGGATCTGGTTTAATTTCGATATATTGGTTAGTTGCTTGATATTTATAATTAGATTTGATTAGTTTTCATGGGTATATGAGTTAAATTTTATTGGGTTAGTAGAAATTGTTTGAAAAACCTAAGTTATGAGTTGAATTTTAATAAATTTGTGTTGCTTTTTAATTGTAATTACAAATAAATTATATTTCTGATAACAAAAATTCTTTTATTTTTTTTAGTTATGGACAAGTTTTTTATCAAAAGAAAGTTTTCTAAAGAGAAACCATCAATTGAACTAAACATAAGGCGTCACGATAGTGTTCACAATGAGTATATAGAATCTAGTTCAAGACAAATATATGTTAAATTTAGCTTGAGTAGTCATCTTGCAAATCCTGGATTGAGGATTAAAATTTTAGAATATCATCATAATGATAGAGACAAAGTGAGAAAGACATACTTGCAAAAAGGACCTTGCCAGCCACACAATCATAATTTTAAAAAGCGAGCAATTGAGAATTTAATGCGTCGTTTTAATCCCATTTGGTTTAGAGAATATGCAAATTGGTTGGAGTATAGTGTAGAAAAGGCGGGTGTTTTGTTTGTGTTGTTATCTTTTTAGACATAAAATTAGTATTAATATTACATATTGCAATTGCAAGTGTTGAAAGAGCATTTTCTACGATGAAGATTGTGAAAAATCGACTACGGAATCGAATGGGAGATCAATTGTTAAATGATTGTCATATTACATATATTGAGAGAGAGATATTTGATGGAATTGTCAATGAAGCAATTATGTAACGTTTTCAAAATATGAAAAATCGTCAAGGACAACTATATATTTGATAATTTAGTATATATAACTTTTAAAAATACATTTTTTACGTTTATTACTTCAATATATATTTTATTGTAAATTTATAAAACTTTGAGTTTTTGAACCCACTGACTCAGAATCCAATGGTTACCCCTATTAGCACACCGAAGGGACTCGAACTAAGGACTTCTTTAAGTTGTTACTAATGTTCTTGGAACTTAAATTTTTTCTGTAACTTTTGGAGTTTAGACAACAAAAGTGGCTGGTAATACAAAATGGAGGTACCCAGATGATGATAATAACTTCCAAGGTGCGAGTTTGGGTACTTGGCCCAATTCCAAGGAACTGGAACTGAAAACGGTCAGTTCTTTGGATTTGGAACTTGAATTGGAATCGGTCAATTCCAGCTCTTGGGTATTTGGAACCAAAATCGAAACCTTGTTACAGGTTCCAATTTTGGTTTAGAGTACTGGTAAATTTATCATGCCCCCTTGATAGTCTAAAAATGACAAATATACCCCTTCAAATTACAAATACAGCCCCAACAGTTTATAAAAATTACAAATACACTTCAAGTACTTGTCGGTTCCAGCTTGGGTACTTGGACCTCGATTCCAAGTCTGGTTCTTGGTTCCTGGTTTTTGAAGTGGTGAAATTGGACTCGGACCTAAACCTGCGTAGGGTTAGTTCCACCAAATTTGGAGTCAAAACTGACCTTATGTGGGTCGGTTTCGGTTTTAACCTTTACTCATGCTCACCTCTACTCCCGAGAAACCTGTTCCCAAATCTGTAAAAGAGTATATGTTTACCCCACACTGATGGGATTATTGTTGTTACCCATAACCCTCCTAAGATAAATGGCTCCGTTTGGTTCACATATTGGGAAACTATTTTAGTTTTCCCAAAAAAGTTAACTTTATTTCACCTATTTTCAAAATAGTTTTCTAAATTATTTAGGCTTCGTTTGTTTCACTTTTGGGAATACTATTATTAGTATTCCAAAAAAAGTTAAACAGTAAAATGTCATTATTCCCAAAATATTATTCTATATTTTTCAATTTCTTTTAAACCTTCTAAATTTGTTAATTTAACTAAACACTCCCAAATATTTTTTGTAGAAATTGCAAAAACACTCCGGCCACCCTTTGGCGATGGTGGCCGACTGTCCGTATTTAATGAGTGGGTTGGGGGTGTTTTTGTTAACTTTTAATATTTTATTATAGGGGTGTTTAGTAAATAAACAAACATAGGGGATATTTTTGTTAATTTCCAAATTCTACATCGTAATACCAGCCCAATTTAACTTTTTTCAAAAGATTATTCTAAAAACTATCAGAATAATGAACCAAACGGAGCCTCAATTTCCTTTAATCCCCTTAAATTTGTTAATTTAACTAAACAACCCCCAATTTTTTTTTTTAAAATTGACAAAAACACCCCAGTAACCCAAATTTACCAGATTCTGGCCACCACTATTGGAAACTGGTCGGAATCTAGTGTAATGGCGCACTACCGGCTGAATCTATAGCATTTTCCAGTCAGATCCACGTTGGATCTAGCCGAAAAAGGCCAGATCAACGGCCAGATCTTTGGCCGTAGACAATGGTCAATGACAGCCGTATCTTTGGCTGTTGTTGACGATCAAATGTGGCCAGATTTGGCATTTTTTGACCAGATCCATGATGGATCTGGCCAGATTTGGCCTTTTTTGACCAGATCCATGATGGATCTGGCCAGAAAAGGTCATATCGGCGCACGACTGGCAAGATTCAGCCGGTCATACACCGATAAGGCAACTCCGGCCACCCTCTGATGGTGGTGGCCGGCTGTCTGTATTTATGAGTGGATTGAGATTGTTTTTGTTAGCTTTGAATATTTTATTATAGGGGTGTTTAGTAAATAAATAAACATAGGGGTATTTATATTAATTTTCAAAATTATACATCGTAATACCCACTCAATTTAACTTTTTTCAAAAGATTATTCTAAAAACTACCCAATAATAAACCAAACGGAGTCAATATCTTCCAAGTAAACAGTGCAAATCTCAAGTAAAACATATGAAATATGAATATATGACGAGAAACACAGAAGAATCATAAACGTCAATATATTAAATATCATATAAGAAAATACAAAATAATTAACATTTCAAACAATTCATAAGTCGGCATAGAATCTATACAAAATCACACCAAACCAGAAAAAAAATAAAAAAATCGCATTATATAAAACATTTTTGTTTTACCAAAAGAAAAGAAACGAAAAAACCACAAAAACCTGTAACTTCAATATACGTCTGCAGACTTCTACTGTACCACTTCCATGTTTCCCATTGAAAAAGAAGAAAACATATGAAAGTATATAAAAAAGAATTACTATTGAATAAAAAAATCTCATGCACTCCTGGCCAACATCTTCTGAAACTCAAGCAGTGATCTTTCCCTTTCAATCTTCATATCTTCACGAAATTTATAAATAAATTCTTCCGCCCTTTCGTCCACACATCTCAGCTGAGGAGACTTAGCAACAATAGCACTCCACGCATCTTCAATATTGTTTAAACTCCTGTTCTCGTTTCTTGTCACAACTTTTTCCTCCATTACTTCCTTACCTCTACTAGTCCCCGCACATGCATGCTTATGCTTTGCATGAGCTTCTGAGAGAGACGGCTCTGCGTAGAGGTTGTCTATGTAAATGGCGGAAAAGTTATTCTGAAGCTGGTGGTTCTGGTAATAAAGGTGGCTGTAATATTTGTTGCGATGGGAAGGTTTCATGAGAAAACGCTTCTTGAAGGGAGTGAAGAGATGGCGAGAGCAAAAAGTGAGGAAAGTTTGAGTGGTTGTTTTGATTGTTTTTGGTATTTTGAGAGTACGGAGTTTTGATTGGAGCTTGTTCGTGAAGCTCTTCCATGCCCTTTTAGCGGGTTTAAGCTTCCTTTCAAGGCTTGAACGATACATCAAATGGTGGATTTCGTCTCTGCAACTATGATGATTTTGTTGAAAGAAGAATCAGTTTTTCCAAAATGATACTAATTTTATTTTTATTTTTTTTATTTAAAATTAATTATTTTCTTTTACCTTTCTTAATTGATGGAAGATTATGAGTTATAAGTTTTTATTGAGTTTAATAAATGAGTTTGAAATAATTTCTAGATTTTGATATGAGTTTTGATTTAATCTTATTTATGTTGAGGTATGAGTTAATTAATTGTTGTTTTAAGTTGGGTTTGATAAATTGTGGTTAGTTATTGAGTTAATTTTGAATATGGTTTAAGGAATGGATAAAACCTTAAGTTGTAGAGATTTGAAGATTTGATTTAATTTCGATATATTGGTTAGTCGCTTGATATTTATAGTTAGATTTGATTAGTTTTCATGGGTATATGAGTTAAATTTTATTGGGTTAGTAGAAATTGTTTGAAAAACCTATGTTATGAGTTGAATTTTAATAAATTTGTGTTGTTTTTTTAATTGTAATTGCAAATAAATTATATTTCTGATAATAAAAATTCTTTTATTTTTTTTAGTTATGGACAAGTTTTTGATCAAAAGAAAGTTTTCTAAAGAGAAACCATCAATTGAACAAAACATAAGGCGTCACGATAGTGTTCACAATGAGCATATAGAATCTAGTTTAAGACAAATATATGTTAAACTTAGCTTGAGTAGTCATCTTGCAGATCCTGGATTGAGGATTAAAATTTTAGAATATCATCATAATGATAGAGACAAAGTGAGAAAGACATACTTGCAAAAAGGACCTTGCCAACCACACAATCATAATTTTAAAAAGCGAGCAATTGAGAATTTAATGCGTCGTTTTAATCCCATTTGGTTTAGAGAATATGCAAATTGGTTGGAGTATAGTATAGAAAAGGAGGGTGTTTTGTTTGTATTGTTATCTTTTTAGACATAAAATTAACATTGATATTACATATTGCAACTGCAAGTGTTGAAAGAACATTTTCTACGATGAAGATTGTGAAAAATCGATTACGGAATCGAATAGGAGATCAATTTTTAAATGATTGTCATATTACATATATTGAGAGAGAGATATATTTGATGGAATTGTCAATGAAACAATTATATAACGTTTTCAGAATATGAAAAATCATCGAGGACAATTATAAAATTGATAATTCGGTATATATAACTTTTAAAAGTACATTTTTTATGTTTATTACTTCAGTATATATTTTATTGTAAATTTATAAAACTTTGATGTTTTGAACCAACTGACTCAGAATCCGGTGGTTACCCTTATTAACACACTGAAGGGACTCGAACTAAGGACTTCTTTAAGTTGTTACTAATGTTCTTGGAACTCAAATTTTTTCTGTAACTTTTGGAGTTTAGACAACAAAAGTGGTTGGTAATACAAAATGGAGGTACCCAGATGATGATAATAACTTCCAAGGTGCGAGTTCGGGTACTTGGCCCAATTCCAAGGAACTAGAGCTGAAAACGGTCAGTTCTTTGGATTTGGAACTTGAATTGGAATCGGTCAATTCCAGCTCTTGGGTATTTAGAACCAAAATCGAAACCTTTTTACAGGTTCCAATTTCGGTTTAGAGTACTGGTAAATTTCCATGCCCCCTTGATAGTCTGAAAATGACAAATATACCCCTAAAAATTACAATACAGCCCCAACAGTTTATAAAAATTACAAATACACTTCAAGTACTTGTCGGTTCCAGCTTGGGTACTTGGACCTCGATTCCAAGTCTGGTTCTTGGTTTTTGAAGTGGTGAAATTAGACTCAGACCTGAACCCGCGTAGGGTTAGTTCCACCAAATTTGGAGTCAAAATTGACCCTATGTGGGTCGGTTTCGGTTTTAACCTTTACTCATGCTCACCTCTACTCCCGAGAAACCTGTTCCCAAATCTGTAAAAGAGTATATGTTTCCCCCACGCTGATGGGATTACTGTTGTTACCCATAACCCTCCTAAGATAAATGGCTCCGTTTGGTTCACATATTGGGAAACTATTGCAGTTTTCCCAAAGTTTTCCCAAAAAAGTTAACTTTATTTCACCTATTTTCAAAATGTTTCTAAATTATTCAGGCTTCGTTTGCTTCACTTTTGGGAATACTATATTAGTATTCCCAAAAAAGTTAAACAATAAAATGTCATTATTCCCAAAATATTATTCTATATTTAATTTCTTTTAAACCTCTAAATTTGTTAATTTAACTAAACACCCCCAAATATTTTTTTAGAAATTACAAAAACACTCCGGCCACCCTCGGCGGTGGTGGCCCACTATCCATATTAATGGGTGGGTTAGAGGTATTTTTGTTAACTTTTAATATTTATATAGGGGTGTTTAGTAAATAAACAAAAATAGGGGATATTTTGTCAATTTCCAATTCTACATGTAACTCGCCCAATTTAACTTTTTTCAAAAGATTGTTTAAAAACTATCAGAATAATGAAACAAACGGGACCTCAATTTTCTTTAATCCCCTAAATTTGTTAATTTAACTAAACAACCCCCAATTTTTTTTGAAAATTGACAAAAACACCCCAATAACCCAAATTTACCAGATTCTGGCCACCACTGTTGGAAGCTGATCAGAATCTAGTGTAATGGCGCATTACGGCTGAATCTTTAGCATTTTCTAGCCATATCTACGGCCAAAGATCTGGCCGTAGACAGTGGTCAATGACGGCCGTATCTTTGGCCATCGTGACGACAAATGCGGCCAGATCTGCCTTTCCGACCATATCCAGGTGGATCTGGCCAGAAAATGTCATATCTGTGCACGATGATAAGATTGAGCCGGTCATACGCGATAAGGCAACTCTGGCCACCCTTCGGCGGGTGGTGGCCGGCTGTTTGTATTTATGAGTGGATTGGGGTTGTTTTTGTTAACTTTGAAATTTTATTATAGGGGTCTTTAGTAAATAAATAAACATAGGGGTTTTATGTTAATTTTCAAAATTTCACATCGTAATACCCACTCAATTTAATTTTCAAAAAGATTATTCGAAAAATTACTCAATAATGAACCAAACGGAGTCAATCTTCCAAGTAAACAGTGCAAATCCAAGTAAAACATATGAAATATGAATAATGACGAGAAACACAGAAGAATCATAAACGTCAATATATTAAATATCATATAAGAAAATACAAATAATAACATTTCAAACAATTCATAAGTCGGCATAGAATCTATACAAAATCACAAAACCAGAAAAAAATAAAAAAATCGCATTATATAAAACATTTTTGTTTTACCAAAGAAAAAGAAACGAAAAAACCACAAAACCTGTAACTTCAATATACGTCGCAGACTTTACTGTACCACTCCATGTTCCATTGAAAAAGAAGAAAACATATGGATATATAAAAAAAGAATTACTATTGAATAAAAAAATCTATGCACTCCTGGCCAACATCTTCTGAAACTCAAGCATGATCTTTCCCTTTCAATTTCATATCTTCACGAAATTTATAAATAAATTCTTCCGCCCTTTCGTCCACACATCTCAGCTGAGGAGACTTAGCAACAATAGCACTCCACGCATCTTCAATATTGTTAAATCTGTTCTCGTTTCTTGGCACAACTTTCCTCCATTACTTCTTACCTCTACTAGTCCGCACGTGCATGCTTATGCTTTGCATGAGCTTTGAGAGAGACGGCTCTGCGTAGAGGGTGTCTATGTAAATGGCGGAAAAGTTATTCTGAAGCTGGTGGTTCTGGTAATAAAGGTGGCTGTAATATTTGTTGCGATGGGAAGGTTTCATGAGAAAACGCTTCTTGAAGGGAGTGAAGAGATGGCGAGAGCAAAAGTGAGGAAAGTTTGAGTGGTTGTTTGATTGTTTTTGGTATTTGAGAGTGTGGAGTTTTGATTGGAGCTTGTGTGAAGCTCTTCCATGCCCTTTTGCGGGTTTAAGTTCCTTTCAAGGCTTGAACGATACATAAATGGTGGATCTGTCTCTGAACTATGATGATTTTGTTGAAAGAAGAAAGAAGGCTGCAGGCTGTAGATTTCTATGTTTTTTTTTTTTTTTTTTTTTGATGGTCTTGTCGTACCGGGGAGGCGCCTAATTCTCCCCTTTTATTATCGTTCTAATTTATCTCTCTTTTATGTAAATTGTCCACAGTTGTTGTCGAAATTGCGTGATTGCCACCCTCCAATAACGACAGCTAAAAGAGGACAACTGGGCAAATAAAGTTTAATCCATTATTATAATGTAATTAATTAAGGTTTTGATCAGAACCTTAAGTGAATGGGTAACAAGCAAGAATGTTATTCAAACCTTAACCGACTCTTTTACCCCCCCAAAGTTTGTCTTCATAACACTTTCTACTTAAAAAGTTTCAAAATATTACTTTTCTCTTAAAGTTTATATTCCGTTAATATTCAAAGTTGATTCTGATGACAAAAATTATCTCCGTTACTACCATTTTAACTTCTGGTCTCTACTCTATAAAACCTCTTTAATCACTCCAACACCTGATTTTCGTTGATCACTGGCCACTACAAATCTAGGATTTTCTATTCTTAGTTGATTTCTTATTGATTTCGACGACGAATATTCAATTGGATATCATCATTCGATCAATCAGTCTTCATTCTACAAAACCTTTCTTACCTTGACTCCTAGTAACTCATCGAACGTCAGTTAAGAAAATGAAGTATATTTTGGTTATTAATGAAATATGAACTTTGAGTAAAAAAATAGTATTTTGAAACCTTTTGGGTGAGAAAGTGTCATTAAGGCAAAAGTTGGGTGGGAAAAAGTCGTTTACTCTTCTTTTATTATCCATAAAATGGACTAAGTATGATGCCAACATTTGACACGTAAGAATTCAAACAAACAGTTATTGAATAGTTACTTCATTCTCAATAAACTAATCAATACTTAAAAATTCAGAGTGGAAATTATAATAAACTTCTCTTATAAATTTCAATGGAAATTTCATAAGATATTAAAATTTAAA